GCTAGAAGATGGGAGACGCTAAAGCACGTCTCCCTTCCCTTCAGGCTGGAGGGAAGCTGAGCCTCCAGCTCAGGGAAGCATGGCTATGCCCCGGCCGGCTGAGTATGATTGCAGAGGGGTTTCAACCCCCACCCCAGCCTGCAACGACCCCAGCTGGGGTCTGCTCGGCTTTTCCCCCTGCTCGGGCTCAGCATGGCCCAGGACCCCCAGAGCTCCCCTCCCAGCCCGGGGGCGATCTGGCTGCGCCTTTCCAGCCACCAGGGCCAGGGTTTCGGTTGGGGCAGCCCAGGAGCAAAGGCCAGATCGGGGGAGGAAAGGGAGTGAAACGGCCCCAATCCCAGGTGAGGACATGCACAGAGGGACCGTGACAGTGGCAGCTTCAGCCTCATTGTGAGCCTCACCGAGCAGAGGGACCCGGGTGGCGGGGGAGGGAAGGGGCTCAAGTGTGTCGGCACTAGCCGAGTCGAGCATGCAGCTGGGGAAGCAGGTCCTGCCTGGAGACCCCTTCTACTCGCTAGAGCGGCACCTGGGCTGGCCCTGGCCCCTGCAGTGGCACGCATGGTGCGGACTCACCCCCTCGGGCCCAAGAGCTATTATCTGTGCGCCCCAGGCCAGCGGGTGCTGAGCTGGGCACGCACTGCTCGCTTTTCCCCTACCTGGCACAGCACGGCCCTGTGTACCAGGTGCAGGAGGCCACCTCTACAGCTTCTCTGCCACCGCTGTCTGTCCACCCTGTGGTCAACTGTAGTTCGGCAGTGCGGGCAGCACCTACCAATAGTCAGAGCAGGCCCCCCAACACTGGCAGTGGCAGGGAAATTGTAGGGGTAGCATCCTGCGCCTGATACATGTGCTGCTGCTGCCACAAAGGGGAAGTGAGCAGGGCATGCCCACCTTGGCACCTGGCAGCCCAGGGGAGGCAGGTAATAGCGCTTGGGGCTGATCCTGCGCCACTGCAGAGGCCGGGGCCGGGCCGGGTGCTGCTCTCCAGCAGGTGGAAGGGGCTGCCGGGCAGGAGCTGCTCCCCCAGCTGCACGCTCTGCTCGGCTCTGCTCTGGGCTAGCACCGACACACTCGAGCCCCTTCTTCACCCCTCCACAGCCTGGGTCCCTTTGTTTGGAGGGGCTCACATCCACGATGGAGCTGCTGCCACCTCGATCCCTCTGTGCATGTCCCCAACTGGGCTTGGGGCTGTTTTGTTCCCTTTCCTCCCTCCAATCTGTCCTTTGCTCCTATGCTGCCTCAAGCGAAACCCTGGCCCCAGTGGCTGGGAAGGCACAGTGGGATCACCCCCTGGCTGGGAGGGGAGCTCTGGTGCTCCTGGGCCGTGCTGAGCCACGAGCAGCGGGGAAAAGTCAGGCAGACACTGGCTGGGATCCCTGCCAGCCGCAGACAGGAGGCAGCGGGGTTTAATCCTGCTCTGCCTGAACCTGCTGTCCCATGCCCTCGCCCCCTCCACTCCAGTGGGGAGAAGTCTAGCAGGGGCTGCTCTGCCCCTGCCAGGCCCCAACACACCCACCCCCTTGTCAGCCAGCCATCACTGCTCCAGCTAGAGAGCACAGGGGCGAAGTCACCCCTGCTCTGCTCCCACAGACAGCACAGCCCAGGCCAGGCCGCAAAGCATGCTGGGATGTTAGGGGACTGTGATTTAACTTGAACCAGGAAGGGGTCTGGGACAGAAGTTTCATAAACTGGTTAGACTTAAATCAGTTAAGTCTGATACTACATTCAACCAGGTTTATCTTAAACTAGCTCCAGCCATTTTGAAGCTGATTTACATGCACTGAACTTATGTTCTGTTACAGGTTTAAACCAGTTACTGATCACTTAAACTGGTTTGTGTGCAACTTCTGTCCCTAGCCCAGCTGATCAAGGATATCTTCAAAAGCAGTTTGGGTTTTTTTGCCCCCTCTGTTCCCATGGAAGTGCTACTCCAGGACTTCCCTTCTAATTTCCAGCCTATATTTATACCCATTTGCTCTTGGGCTAATAGCATCCTTTAACTTACGGTGGGTATGTCTACACATGCAATTAATGTGACTGAATAAACTCTGGTGCAATTTGAACTGGAGTACAGTAATCCCAGCATCACCGCCTACACATGCATTTAAGCACAGTAATTTATTCTGTCATCAAATAAATAGTACCCGTGTCTGACAGGACTATCCAATGACACTGTAAATTAGTCTACACCCGCCCGGTTGTCACTCCCATGTAGGTGGTGAGGCTTCACTGCATAGTAAATTAATCTATGCAATAAAGCGCACATGAAGACATGCCCACTGTCTCCCCCGTCCCGTTTACTGCTGTTCTTCCACTAAATTAGGCAACTAAACTCTTAATCGCCTCAAAATAGGATCTCCATTCTCCTGCTCATCCTACTTCCATTTAAAAAAGCAGTAATCTGAATTGTATGCAGTATTCCAGATGAGGTCTTCCCAAGGGCTTGTAGGTGGTACTAATTAATACTTCTCTGGTCTTGCTCCAAATACTTCTCTTGATACAGCCTTGGAACCTGTCGGCAACTTAGTCACTTGGAACTCATCGACCCGAATTTACTAGCGCATAAAAGACTTTTCAGTAAAGGTTATCGAGTTCTTTTTACATGACAATGCCACCAGATTTTGTGTCATGTAAAATTACCAGGTTACTCAATCCAAGAATTGAAATTAAAGGACTATGACATACAAGCCAGAGTCGCTCCATTCTGGCCTTGAACTCCATAAACTGTCACACAGACACGCAGCACTTGTAACAAGACTTTCATAGCACGCTTATAGCTGGGTTAAAACACCTATACCTCTCCCTCCACACTTGGCCAAGGCCACAAGTAGCTTTATCTTACTTTCAGTATCTTGCCAGCTGCAAGGCTTCATCACTACTGCTCTGTTGTTACCAGAATGGATAAAAATCAATTAAAAAATGGATGTTTTTATTTAAATAGTATTTTTTTTATAATTATGTTTTTCCTTTTAATAAACCAGCTTAAAATTAAATTTGAATTTAATACAGCATAGGTTAAGGTATATATTTAGTATAATATACTGAAATAACTTTAAAAGAATTATTGAGTCAATGAGTCTCTAAAAACTCTGGATGCAAGGCTGGTTTTCTTCTATGCAAGAACGGGGTGGGGGGGGGATGAAACTTTTAAGGCCAAGCTCTTTGGGAAGTGGAAGATTACAAGAGAAAGCCATGCTTGTGTTTTCTTCATTTCAGTAAGGGCACAGTCTTTAGTCCTCTCTTCTATATTTACCACCACCCCAGCGCTGAATGCACGCATAAAACTGAATTCTGCCAAATACGTTGCAATTGCTTTTCTCTCAGCTGTGCATTCTTTTCTTTTCTAAAAGAGATGGAAACTCATTTAGATCAATATTCAATAGCATTGGGGATGGTTATCAAGTGTCACCTAGCGGCAGCATTTTGGAGCATGCCTCCTACTAAAAATATTTCTTGTACCTGAGCAATGCTAATATGAATGGACACCATCTCCACAACACTCACTGCTTTTTCTGAACAAAGGTACGTTTTCAGGTAGAACAATACTTGGGATCCAAAATATGTGAATTGATGAGAATGTAGCTTTGTCATTCCAGATCCCAACTCCACGCCACTTTTTATGTGCATGACTTGATTCCAGTAGGACTACTCTCAGGCATATATACTACGCCTGATGTACATCAGTTGGCTTATATCCAGGAGTTGGAAACAGGTAGATTTGCCAGCTGCAGATCCCAATTGCAAATCAGTTATGAATTTGCACAGATGGTAACTCTATACAAAGGAAAGGTTTTATACAAGGTTAGTCTGACAACTTCTGAATAGCACACGTGTGACGTTACAGCTAACGTTTACGACAAAGGTGGAAACACTGCTTTCTTAGTAGAGAAACTCAATCTAGTCCTCAGCTCAGGAATTCCCATCAACTCCAGAAAGATAAAAATCAGGTTAAATCATAATTCAGAGACCATTTCTTCCCCCACTCCTCTGATCTCTAAAGGTTGCAGGAACTATCTTGAAGACAAACCTTGAGAGGTCACTTTTATGTTTCTGGCCACAGGAAGAGCCAACGGATAAGGCCCAAACCAGGATTTTGAATCTAAGGTGAGCTTTGGATCCGAGTTCATAATTGAACCTCATTCATGAGCTAATCCCAGAATCTGAAACTGTCGAAGCTGATAGATCAGATTTCAAAGGCTCACATACAAAAATGTGTAGACTCAACATGAGCACTGGGCCTCTACTGAAGACCTCAAGAGCCAAAAGCAGATACAGCACTCCTAGAGCCCTACCCCCTGGGGAGTTTAGGATTCGGTGCAGGGACCACGGTACACTTGAACGTGATGGTCGAGTAGTTCATCAATTTTCAAGGCAGAGCAAAAATTAGAAATGCCACAATAATGCTATTTTTGAAAACAAGCTATTAAGGCACAAGAAGCTTTTGAAAACCATGACAGCTTGGACTCGGCAAAAGCAAAGACGTTAACTTTCATCTACTGCTGTGAAACAAGCTATCTTGACAAGCTGCTGAGCAGCAAGGAAATTCATTTTTAAACCATTCGAAGGGCAGGAACAGAAAATAGGAAGGACAGTTTAATCCTTTTTGAAGAGAGCCAACAATGATCTCATCAGTGCACATAATTTAAAGATCCAATACCGTACCAGGGTCTTGGGCAAGAAAATACAAATCACTCCTACTTTATCATTAGAATGCCTCAATTCAATCCTCAGTTGTGTATAATTGGTTTCATTATATTTATTAAAACAGAAGATAAACATTTTTTTCGTTCCAAAGGTACTTCTCACTACAACGGGCGGTGAAGGAAGAGCGATGGCTTTTTTCATCCCTCCTCACCACCCCCCAAGCACGCACGTTTTACAAAGATGCTTGAAACCACAGCTGGATTTTTTTTGTTTTTGTGGAGCTTGCATGTATTCTCTTAGTTCTTTCCTATGATTTGCAGGAAACAAACACACAAAAAATCACCATCCACACAGAAAACGGTATATTTATGAGCGTGCTCAGATTCTTTTATTCCAGACTGTAAGAAGACAATCTGCATTTTGCTGACAGCTTCCTCGGTCCTACGTGAAACAGAAGAAAACACAGATCCATCTCCTTAACTACAGCTGAAGCAGCACAGATCAAGGGGGGGTGGAATGGTTTGTGGGCACATCCTGCTAATTTTTATCCTCTTGGTCGCTTGGGCTGTGCGCTGGGGCGATGCGCTCATTAAAAGATGGTCTTGATTCTACCAGCTGCCGGTTTCATGAAACCAAAGCAGAAATTGGGAGATCAGCACAGCACAGGCCAAGATCCCGTTGTGGAGGTAAGGAGAGAAGCCACTTCCACCACTGAAGGGGATCCATCCCGATTCGACAGTCAGCTTGCAAGCTAGACTGCACACAGGAATCTGGCCCGCAACAGCAAAAGGGACACGTGCCAGCCTCTGTAAACATGTTTTAATAAAACTAGTGACATTTCCCTGTCCTGTAACCTTAAGATCAAGTAGAAGAAGTGGGCAAGATTTTGGAGCTGCTCAGGCTAAATTAACTGCTGGCACACAGCAAGAGGAACTGTGACATACTATCAACGTATATGAAACAGCTATTCTCCACACCTCTGCACTAAGACTGTCTACATGCAGGCCAACGCAAAGTCCAGGAAACAAGCTTATAAATCAGCAGTTTCATTTTCCATAAAATATCTCTTTCCAATTGTATATTAAATGTAAAGATTGCAATGTCATTAGCTGGCATGAATTAAGCAGAGGAATTCAATATGCAACTCATTTTTTTCAAACCAAGGCACTGAAGAAAAAAAAAATTCTGAATTTGAGATATTTTATTGATTGCACTACGGAACAGCAGGGCAGTTTCACAAACTCACTTTGTGTCTTGGAAATGTCTGTTGAGAAGTCACAGGAGTATTTTACCACTGGACTTGATCAATGCTGTTGTGGATGAGCCAATTTGTTAAGACTGTTGCACAAACATTTAAAATAGAAAATCGCCAAAAGGCATTCCCTCCCAGGCAAGTCATAATTTGTCCTATCACAAGGACGGATGCTTGAAAATTAAAGCAAGGACAGTTAGTATTTGGTGGAAAGACAGGAAATTTCTGAACCATGCATATACAGGGAAAGATTATCCAAATAGTAAAAAATAGAACTACTCTTTCTGCAAGTGTCTCCAGGTATTCGTCTAGAAGAGAGTGAGGTTACCTACAGATAACATACACAAAGCTTTCAGTCCTTCAGAAGCACTTGATATCTACAGCTGATTTATAGTTAGGTGGAGCTGTTAAGTCCAAAATGAGCCACTACAAGGGTCCAGTAAACAAAAAATCCTAGAATACTAAGGACAGTCAGTAATTAATAGCTATTTGAAGAATTATGGCTGTTCCTTACGGAGTGCAAAGTCAAAACTGCTCAAAACCAGGAGGTAATTGTTTTATACTAATTTACACCTAATTCTTTTTAATTTCAGCATCCCAGGAAAATATAAGAAAACAGTCTTTCCACAAGAAGAAAGTGTGGAAACGTTTTAAAAATGGGGGAGTCATTTTGTTTTTCCTAATACAGCTGGGATCACTGGATTCCATAGTTAAATCTTGGTAATGGGTTCTTGCTGGGAAGAATCCTTTTGTTTCGTGGCTTTTGCATGCACTTAACTGGAACAAAGTTTGCCAAGTTTCTTCTTAAGAGCTCACCAAAACATAAATCATGCTAGAAAAGAAAGAAAGAAAGAAATACATCAGGTTTTTATTTAGCTGCAACACTTTGGATTAGTTATTATTAGGGACCTACTTAATTCAGTTTCACCGATTTTGTGGAAATGCGAAATCTGGGATTGTCCTCAAAAGCCAACAAGAGAAAACTTGATAAAAATAAAATGCTGGCTCCCCAGTGAGAGCATTCAATGGTCCTCACTCTGGGAGGGGAAGGCACTGGCTGGCGGGGTGGCATGAAGGGCAGATGGCGGCTGTCCCCTTGTCCCAGCCAGGGCCTCTCCATCAATCAGCACTGAGCGGCAGGGCAGCATGAAGGGCAGACAGCAAACAAGATGGTGGCCACCTTCTCGTCCCTCTCTGCCAATTAGCATCAAGGAGTGGGTCCTTTCCGCCAAGTTAGCACCAAGGGGGGGAGGAGGGGCACCATGAAATCCCAGTGAAATTGGCTCTGCAGACTATGAGTGGGCCACCAAAAATATTCGGCCTTGCTGCAATTTAAGTAGACCCCTAATCATCATGCACTTGATTAACAAGCAAAGCTTAACTCTCCTCCCCGGTACATAAATAATCAGACACCTAGGTTATACGTAGGGACCCAACTAAATTGCGGTGGACGTTTGCGGTGCAGCAGCACCTTTCATTTTGCTCTTTTTGCACCCTGCCCCAGACCACCAAGTGGCAGAGGCAAAAACCACGGCATTAATTGCCTCTCGGCCACTCAGTGGCAGGGGAAGGTGCACAGCAAAAAGAGCGAGATTAAAGGCGCTGCTGCACCACAAACTTCTGCTGGGATCTAGGTAGGTCCCTCGTTCTAGTTATACGTGAATATGTTTCTCCAGTTCTAAAATAAAAAACAAGTAGGCCACCATGACTTTGAGTTAACAAAAATAATGGCATTTGAAAAAGGAAGCGACAGGCACATTGCACACAGTGGTCACCCAGATCAACAAACAGTAGCAACGGGGAGTCCTCTATTAGCTTCGTAAATGCATTTAAAAAACAATTACTAAAGCATGAACACACTTCCATCATCTTTTTGTATGATTAAATCAAAGTGCTGAGCAGCACAACGACCAGCTAACAGATGCAGCATAGGGCAGTTGTACTGCGGCACTCTACCCGTATCAGATTTCTCCTACCCCCACCCATTATTTTTTCCTGGAGTTTGATTCTGCTTTTATAAATTCTGTATCTTCTCATCTATTATGTTACCATTTTACCTTCATGTTTTTACAAAACTAACTTGAACCAAAGAAGCCATTACTTTTAAAATGGTGATACTTCACCTTGATTAAATCCCAATATTTTTATTGTAAAGCATATTTTAAAAGAAAAAAGGTTCTAAGTTTTCTAGCTTTCTGAGTCTTTAATGCATCTTAAAATTGAAGGAATATTGACACTGGGGTTATATTTTTTTTAAAAAAGGAAAACTTTACTTCCCCAGCTAGGATTTCTTTTTTTTTTTTCCCAACAAATTATTTGACATGTGTGGTACTGGGCATTCTCTTAAAAAATTATATATATTTTTTCCTACAGACTGAGCCCAAGCAAAAGTTCAGGTCTAAGAATCAAGTGGAAGAGAAAATAACTTACCCATATAGGTAGTAAAAAAATGATAGAAGGTAAAATGCTAGTTTGCACCATCCTTCCTTCTGACAGTAGGCTAAAATATCTGCATTCATGATTGTTGTAGGATCATATAGACCTGGTCCACTCATCACAGGTCTACTCATGTACCTGGAAGAACACATTAGGTTAGAAGCAAGTTTTGGGGAGGGTGGGGAGTTACAGAAAAAGCAGGCCTCCTTTACTGTTCCAAACAATATCAAAATATAACTATGCAAGGAACTGCACATCTCCAACTGCACAGAACATGTACTCTAGTCAGCAGCTAACAGACAAACAGCAACATCTGAGCCCACAAACAAATGCTCTGCTCATTGATGGGTTCTAGACACTACAGCTGCCCTGCACCCTGGGCCAGGGCACTTTTGCACAGTACTAGACCAAGAGTAGACAAGATGATCCTTTAAAATAGTATGTACAATTTGAGGCATCACATTATATTAGAAATAAAAAACTGAAAAATAATGTGGAAGAGAGTAACAAGAACAACATGGTCCAGGGGCTGGTGCTGGTAGTCATTACCATATTTACTTGAATCCAAGATAAGGTGTCTCCCCCCCATTCACCATGGTAGGGAACAGAAGTCTCATCTTGGATTAGAGTAGGGGGCCAGAGCTACCACCACCACTGCTGTCTGGCCAGGGTGGCTCATGGGGCGGGGGAGAAGGTGTGCAGTGTGCAAGCATGGGGGTAACTGTGTGGTACAGAGGGGGAGCGGCACATGGGGAAGACCACATGCTGCAGGTGAGACCACGCAATGTCTGCGTGCAAAGAGAGAGGTCGGTAGTGCAGATTATGCACTAGCAGGGAAGCTGCTGCAGCTCCAGCGAGGGGCTGGAGCTGGACCCAGAGTCATCACACAGAGCATGTGGCAGCTCTGGCACATAAATTGAAGACAACCCTCCAGTAATTTTCCATGTATAGGATCTAATTATTGGGAGCTCGTCTTCAATTCAAACTAGGTGCCGATAAATACGGTATGTGTTAAACAAGATTCATGTAGAATGGCTCTGGAAGCTTCAGCACCATTTAAGACATGCATGGCAGGACTTATTCTTGTTTATTAAGGTGGGAATAGTTTTCCCTTAGAAAGGCAAAACAAGAGTCTTTAATTTGATTCATACCTGTAAAGTAAGACTTTTCAGTATCTCATCACAAAGTGCCTTTATGCTTTTTTGCCGGAGAAATAGGAAAATAAGGAGGAAGTACTGCAGCTGGAGAATGAATTATAATTAGCATAAATCAAGGTGTCAGACTTATCAATATTACCTCCAAATATGGTAAGCCAACAAAGGCATATTGAGACCCAAAGTAAGCCACTCTGCCGCACAGAGAAACATAACACAGAAGAATGCATGGATGAGGTACTCTGGAAGTACAAGCTGGAAAAGAAAGATACACATCAGAATATTCAAGTGAAGTAAATCATCGATGAAAAACTGAATACTATTATTTAGAAGAAATAGGGAGAATTACATGAACGAGTAAACTGCAGAAAGTGAAAACAGCAACTAGCAGATTATGCCTCATATCTCCATATAAATGTTTGTATATTTATGAACAAAAAAATGTACATGACACAATGCCCAGATTAGAGAAGTTATCATTGCTTCTAATAACTAAGTGCACTGTTAACAGCTTCCATGTTTCATATAATAGCCCCCCATGACAGAATAGCACATTAAGATATTTCTTCACATGCAATATAGAAATATCAACAGGAAATATGCTCCCTGTACCAGTTTATGTGCAAGAGGATGTTTTTATTTTACGTTTGGAAGCTTTGAACTTGGAAAAACTATACAACGGAGACTGTTACCAAAACCTTATTTCCTGTGCACAGCACTATCAGACACAACTAGTAGTAACGTTGTTATGCACATCAATAAGCACAAATACAAGCATTATGCTTTCTGCAGTGTAGGAGGGAACAACAGTGCAATGTATATACAGTTTCAATTCCTTTATGCACCTTTTATATACCCCACAGGCCTACTTTTTAATGGCAAAAATCAACAAAAGTAACACTGAAACTAGACTACACTCAGACTAGGAAAGTGTAAGACGTCAGGTTATACAGCATTAATGCTACTAAAAGAAAGGATATGGGAAAAGAGTTGTAGATTAAATTCATGCAAAACCTTACATCCACTACAAGAATACCAAGGCCAATAACCCAGCTAGAACTGGACTACCCATTCATGCTCTTAAATTAACACAGTTCTCAAGAAAAGTTCATTTCTATCTTTGAAATGCTCAACGTGGGATCAACAACTATGACCTCTTTCATGTAAAAATATCCAACTGCTATATTTCAAGCAAGAATTTACCATAAATAAATCAATCATAAGATTCAAGGTAAAAGTACTAACCAAGCTAGAGGTGCACACACGAGAAAACTTCATTCTTGGATACTGTCCCATTTTTCAGTCTAGAATGACTGACTGAAGTGTCAATGTTTTGCAGGTTTGTATTACATGTCTAAAAGCAAGAACTTCTTTCAAACACCTAAAAGATCTAACTAGATCTCTATAAACTCAAAAAAAGCTGTGTTCCCTATAGTCTGACTCTTTAAACAACAGATTATTAAATACAAACTTCCATCAAGACAAAAAACTAGTCAAAGCTCTTTACTTAGGTGAAACAAATTCTCCTCTTACATACTCACTATGTAGAGCTTTTAAAATTTAATTAATGTATTTAAACTAAAAGTGTCTTTGGCAGCACACCTGTGTTTTAGGCTTAAAATCTACAATTATCGACTCTACATCACAGGCATGAATCTCCCTCAACGTTTGTATTTGCCCCGCCACCACAAGACACAGGCAAACCGTCTGTGGCATATTTATCACAGTATTTTATCTTCCTTCCAGCTCTACAGGGGAACTAGTCTGATTTGAAGAAAGAACAGTACCATATAAACTAAATGTTGAGAAGAGAGAAAATTAGTAATCAGTGGCACATAAGCCAAGGAAAATGGCAATATGTAAGGAGAGAGAGAAAACCTCATCACACCATACAGAAGTGCTATCTTACCTATTTCTCATTAACCAAAAATGTTCTCCCCTACAATTTCTCTCTCTCAGAACAGGACTCATGTCTTTTAGGTATTTGCAGAGGATTATTTTCATTTACCACACTACATGAAGAGTTTGGATTTAAATCTACCTTTTCATGTCTAATCTACTCCCACTAACACAGTAAATACTGTTAAGATTTTCAATCAACACAAAACTACTGTATAATCAACACCTCATGCATGCATGTTAACATTAGGTTAATAAAATATTTGCTTTAAACATGCACAGTATAGTACCCTTGTATTAAAGTTTTTGATAAGATCATAATGCATAAATGTAATGAGTATTTGCCTTCCCCCATACTATAGCAGAAATGACTGCAAAACAGACCGAGCAAGGGAAACTGTTAGATGCACATCCATTCAAGCACCAAATACTATTTGCCAAAATTAACCCTTCCTCGTATCATCCCCTTCCTCCTACTCATTCTGTAATGTTTTCTGGCAAGTGACACAGCCTGTATTGAATACACACATTCTTCTTCAGCTTGTTTTGAATTCAATACCTGATGGTGTGATTTACTTCTAAAGAACATGAATTCACAGTGCCCAAATCCAGAGGCATAACTTCACCACTGTGCTACTTCTCCTGCTATCATAATCGAGCTGTTCCCAACTAAAATAAAATGGACAGAAAGGGGTGGAGACTAGGCAAAGAATTATTGCTTTACCAAAATACAGATGCGTCAGCAAGATCTCCTATATTGCTGCTTGCGTCTGCAACACCCCAAACTAAATGTGCTTTTGAGGCCAGTCATTAAAAAAAAATAAAGGTTCATCAGAGCCGCGTCCAAAACAACAGCTGTACTGTACCTTCCTGACCACAGAACAAAATAAGGGGAGGCAACGCCCTCTCTCTGACTCCTGTGTGACACACATCTACCAAAATCATCAAGCCAGATCAGAATTTTTTTGGTCAACACTTTTTTAAAAAGTAAACTAGGCCCTTGGCGTATCAAATTCAAACCGTTTTGTAAATCTGACTTGAGAAATACCACTGGTTTACGTCTCCAAATACTGCAGCTACTCAATAAAGACTCGAAGCATATAACAGTTTCCCTCACTTTACCGGGTAAGCAAGCAAAATTATTTTGCACAGAATATGAAAGGTCATGAAGTTTATAAACCTGAACAGACAGTACAGGCAGATGAACAAGCACACTAAACAAAACATCTTAAAATAGTAATACAGATGTTCCTAACAAAATGAAAGGAAAGTGGCATTGAAACATTAAACTAAAAAGCAGTACACACCTTTAATGCAATTTTGACTCTTTTAATCTTTTTGACCTTTTCAACTGTCTTTGTGCCGAAAAATGTAAAAAGCAGATTGAAAGAACGTTAGTACGGACAGCTGACAAGATCACCAGCAGATTAATAATAGTCAGAATATTCAAGATTGAGAGGAAAAGCTCCAGTAATTAGGTGTTACTAGCCAAACAGAATTGTCATTACCTTTTTTTATTTGCTTGAGACAACTAAATTAAGAAATAGCGTATACATCTATGTAAAGAGGAACTCTTGATCGCGTAACTTACAGGATTCAGTGTATTACATTGGTCTATGGGATTCTTGTAATCAGTCTTCAGTTCATCAAATGCTATTATCTAGAATAAAATTGAAACAGTTAGGATTCTTCAAACCGAAAGCAGTAATAAACATCTTGCACAGCAAATCCATTTACTGGTATGGAGCCGAATAACGAAACGTGTCCTCTTTACCCGCATAGAAATGATTCCACAAACCAAGTAACCTATAGCTAAAGGCTGTCTGAAACAGGTCTGCTTTGGTTGAACAGAAAAGCAAGCAAATTCTAATTAATTCAGCTTCTTTTAGGTATTTTAGGCACTCAAAAAGCTGTGGCACTATACCTTCACTGAACCGCCCTTCCCTCCCCCAAGAAAAAAAACCTTGCTGAGTGTCACTTTAAATAGTGTTTAATCCCACAAAGTATATCCCTGGAGCATAAACAGATCAAGCTGTTGCAGATGTGGCATACTTGGTTTCTGGTTCATGCCCGACACTTATGCCAGTCAAGTAATTAAAAGCAAGTGATCTTCACGTTAAAAGAGGCTAACCGCTCCATCTTATCTCCGTGGTCAGAGTGTGCGTGCTGCAGCCAGAGATGGCTGGGAAGGGAGATGCATCAGGAAAAGGTCAACAACATTTTGGATGACAGAGGTTTTGTCTGTAAACAGATGCTTAGGAAAGCATGAGTGTACCAATCGGAAACATGGTCAAATACACCGCACCAACTAAGACAAACGTTTATGATACAAAAGCAAGAACTATAAATTATGAGAACCAGAACATTAAACATAACATAATCAGCACTAATATTACTTGTATTCAGTGTACACCAAAACAAGTTTATATACTGTCCTTTATATTACAATAAAAAGCTAACTTAAATGGTTACGAGGCTAAAAAGGGATGCCAAAGATGCATTTTCATCCGAGTGCCCCTCTGCAAGAGCAGGAATTTCATACCCGCTTCAAGCTACGTTTCCTACCGTACCACAAGTAAATTATCTTCTCTGTGGCTGGTTGAAAATACATGACTCTCAAATAATAATAAATATTCAAGACAAAATAAATAAAATCTTAATAGGAGGTAGAAAAAAATACAAAGCTCCTTCATCACACGATTGATTTGTCGAAGGACTATAATATTTTAAACATGTACTCAAATAGGTAAAAACAATATTTTATGAGAACTGCAAAATGCTTGCAGTTGCATTAAAATATCTTTAATAAAAATCATCTGGCCTAAGTTAACCTTTGAGAACATTACTCATCCATAGATGAGTATCGGCGGATTTTCATCGCATCACCAAGGAGCTGAGCTGGCAAGTTTTCATGACAGTTTTGCAAAGCTGGTTTAAACCAATAAACACTACTCTCGTGTCCTGCAGTGAACGTAACGCAGGACAGTTATTAAAGAATAAGAACCTGTAGGTGTGCCTGAAGGCCTGCTTTGTTACCGGTCCCGGGTGTTTTCCTACAGCGGATCCACTCAACAGGCGCTCAGCAAAGTAGCGGAAACCCACTCAGGTCCCTAACGCTGCTGCTGGCCCGCACGCCGGGGAGCAGCAGGAGGGCAGTGCAGAGCAGTGGTGCTCAACCTTGTTCCCCGGGGGAGCGAGATGAGCGTCTGCCCATGGTCCAGATCCCACCAGTGGTCCCCAATACAGCTACAGTGGCCATCATACAGGACATTCCAGTTTTCCACTACTCTGTCCTCTATTGATATGAAACCTGACGCCTTTATGTCCTCTATTTTTCATCCAAAAATAGAGAAAAATAGAGGACTTAAAGGCAACCGGTTTCATATCAAGAGAACAACCAGACTGTCCTCTATGATGGCCACCCTAAATACAATACACAGGGCAGGGGGGCTTGACCCAGCCCCAAAGGGGAAGAGGGCTTGACCCAGCACCATGCTGGAGAGGGGGCTTATCCAGGCAGGGAGAGGGGGAAGCAGGGATGGGATGTGGCCCAGCCCCATAGGGGAAGGGGGCACAGCCCAGCCGCAACCATCTGCGAGGGGTTTGGGAATTTGGCAGGGGGGAGGGAGGCTGCATTCATTGCCCCCACTCCCCAACCACCAAATTTACCCACCCTGTGGGCCAAATGCAATTGCTCTGCAGGCCATGCATACTCCACAGGCTGGAGGCTGAGCGCCCCTAGTGCAGGAAGTGTTAAAACCCGCTGTGCCCCGCACTGGAAAAAGCACTCTCATAGCAAACAAATGAAACGTTTACGCTAACATCCTGGGAAGCACGCGTAGTCTTGAGCGCAGATGGAAGCAGTCGCATGTAAAAAGCCAGGTTATTGCAGAACCATGAAGACACCGGGCTGGGAGGATCGTCCCTGTCCACATCACCCCGTACGAACCGTAATCTCAACTCTACCCTGTTACGGTTAACACGTGCAATGCATGCATGCCTTTAAAAACCTAACGAATGCTCGTGCATTGATTGTCTTCAGTTGTACCCAAACCTCGCCCCGGATGTAATACAGGGAGGTGAGGCTGAGCACGGCTTGTCCGCACATGAGTAGGAAACAGGACTCGTCCTTGCGGACAAAGAGCGGTGCTCGGTAGCGCGTACTCCCACCTGCCCTTGTTTCACCCAGAACGACACTTGGGAGCTCAGGGATGGCTTTAAAATGCCGCCTGCGACCGACCCATCGGTGCCCAAGGAGGGAATGAGCAGAGATGTGGGTTGTCCAGTAAATTTTGAATTGGAAAATTTTCTAGTGCCCAAAATAGAGCGTGACCTCATTTAGCATGCTTATTTGACTTCTATTTAGTAACCAAAACTAATCCAGCACCCCCGTGTTCATGTTATGTCCCAACAGCCACAAGTAATGGAACTGAAACATTTGATGAGGAAGAAAATTAAATACAGCACACTTCATGCGGTGCGAATGGTTTAGTCAAACAAATTCAAAGCGTTACGTGCACAGACATGATTTTTAGTGGACTGTTCGTAAAAATGTGAAGATAATACACAATCGCGTTACGCTGTTTACATTTAAGGGGGAAACGGCACTGAAAACTGTCGAGACACGAATATCAGCGCACCCAAAGGGCTGCGCGTGACGGGCCGCGCTTTGGGTTTGATTTCACCGGCGCGGGCAATTCGGTGAATTGGTAACTTGATTTTCGGTGTGGATTATTACGCAAGTGCGTTCACCCTCCGCCTGCTCATAAACCACTACACCACAGGTGTGCTCGCGCACCCTTCCCTGGGCGGGCCGCACGTGTGCGTGTGCATGTTACCACATATGCGCGTGCATGCATGAGTGTGTGCATGTGCGTGTGCACGCGTGTCAGGGCGAGGGGCCCGGGCCGCCCCCGACCGCGGTCACTCACATGCCAGATGGCGAAGAAGATGAGGGCGGCGGTGAGCAGCAGCGCCAGCATGTAGCAGAAGGCGGCGAAGGT